ATCCATCCATCCATCCATCCATCCATCCATCCATCCATCCATCCATCCATCCATCCATCCATCCATCCATCCATCCATCCATCCATCCATTTTCTTCTGTTTCGTGGGGGTAGCAGCCTGTAGCAGCCCAACAATTGAGAAAGCTCCTCGATGAGGAGTGAAACGTCTTCTGTTACAAATAAAGTCCAGTTGTTTTTGTATTGAACGCTTTTTGGATTTATCATGTCCTGGATGACTGAGAGTCTTCACCAGCACATGTAGGGAGGTCCAGACTTCCCTCTCCCCAGCCACTTGGGTCAGTATCTCCAGGGGAATTCCAAGGCATTCCAAGACTAGCTGAGAAACAGTCCCTCCAGCGTGTCCTGGGTCTTCTTCTGGGTCTCCTCCCAGTGGGACGTGTCTGGAACACCTCACCAGGGAGGCGTCCAGGAGGCATCCTAACCAGATGCCTGAGCCACCTCAACTGGCTCCTCTCGATGTGGAGAAGCAGCGGCTCTACTCTGAGTCCCTCCCGGATGATCGAGCTTCTCACCCTGTCTCTAAGGGAGAGCCCAGACACCCTGCGGAGAAAACTCATTTTGGCCGCTTGTATCCGAGATCTCATTCTTTCGGTCACAACTCAAAGCTCATGACCACAGATGAGGGGCAGGACCTCCTCCCCGACCCGGAGAGGGCACTCTACCTTTTTCCAACTGGAGACCATGGCCTCGGATTTGGAGGCACTGATCCTCATCCTGGTCGCTTCACACTCGGCTGCGAACAGCTCCAGTGAAAGCTGCAGATCACAACCTGATGAAGCCAATAGGACCACATCATCTGCAAAAAGCAGAGACGCCCCCTCAAAACCTTGGCTGCACCTACAAATTCTGTCCATAAAAGTCCAGTTCTGCAACTACTGGCCAATATCAAAACTGCCTTTTCTTGCCAAAACTCTGGAGAAGTTAGTGGCTGGGCAGTTGAGTTGACTACTTCAGTAATAATATTCTGGGTAAGTTCCAATCTGGTTTCCACAAAATGCACTCCACTGAAACTGGCTTATTAAAAGTCTCTAATGACAGGTTGATGGTCAGAGCAGTGCACTGATTTTATTGGATCTGTCATCAGCCTTTGACACAGTCGACAACAAAATTCTGATACATCAACTGCAACAAGAGTTAGGAATTTCTGGAACTGTTCTTAAGTGGTTTTCCCAACAGCTGAAAAAACAGCTAAAATTAGCTGAAAGTAGCTGAAACAAGTTTAAATTAGCACAAGGAAGCTAAAAGAACCTGAACAAGAACAAAATGTGAAAGGAGCAGTAAAAGGTTGTAAACAGATTTAACCATTTTTAAGGATGTAAAATGAGCTCAATTCATTTTCTATGAGACAAAAAATGGCAGAAAAGGCTAAATATTTAAAAAAAACTAAAGTTGCACCAATACCAAAAGTCATAGCAGGATTGTGCTGAAAGTTTTGATTTATGATTTGTTGAAATAGTTTGAAAACTGTGGAATGAGAAAGATGCAGAAAAACATACAGATGAACATTCACACTATTAATGTTGACAGGTGCATTCACTGCTGCACCAAAGTTACAACATATCAGTCTAATAGCTCAGAATATAGTTGGGACTCATCCTTCTAAAATTAGAAACGTTGATTTAAAGCTTTGCATATTTGTGCCACGCTGCCATCTTTGGAAACACAACATCTCAGATTGGACACAGTTTTTTTTTTAAAACCTTAAAATACGAGTTGGTTAAAAACCTAAAGCGAACACATCACCTCTGACCTGCAGCTTGTGAAATTGCTGTAAAAGCCGTCACCTTCTTATTTGAGCCCCGAGAAGCCACAGAGATGTCTATAGGCTCAATGTGGCCCTTCTTTATTAAAGGTGCTTGTCCAGGAAAGACGAGCTGATAACACTCCTGCATTCTTCCCAACGTCCTGTAGAGAACAAGACGGTGAGATTTACAGAAATACTGAGCGTCAAGTGCAGCAACGACACATAAAGCATGCAATCGCTAAAAATTGGAAATTCTACTTCAAACTCCATCCATCCATTATCTTTACCCGCTTCTTCCATTTTGGGTCACGGGGGTCGCTGGTGCCCATGTCCAGCAATCACTGTGCGAGGGGCGGGGTACACCCTGGACGGGTCGCAAGTCCATCACAGGGACACAGAGACAAACAACCATTCACTCTCTCACTCACTAGAGACAATTTAGAGTTACCAATCAGTCTAACATGCATGTTTTTGGTCTGTGGGAGGAAACCGGAGTACCCGGAGAAAACCCACGCATGCACGGAGAGAACATGCAAACTCCACCCAGAAAGACCCCTGAACCGGGATTTGAACCAGGGACCTACTCGCTGAGAGACAGCAGCTGTACCGGTTGCGCCACCGTGCTGCCTTCTACTTCTTTAATTAATTGCAAACATTAAATACTTATTTAGGGCAGCACGGTGGCGCAACTGGTAGAGCTGCTGCCTCTCAGCGAACAGGTCCCTGGTTCAAACCCCGGTCCAGGTGCCTTCTGGGTGGAGTTTGCATGTTCTCTCCGTGCATGCGTGGGTTTTCTCCGGGTGCTCCGGTTTCCTCCCACAGACCAAAAACATGCATGTTTTTGGTC